TATATATATATAATAGTTATCTATGCGTCTAGGTTACAGTTATATCAGATGGGTGTGGTTTGGGTACTCATGGGCACTCTGCATATTCTAAATAAGAGTTACCAGGCAAGGTAGCTTTTCTTAAACAAAAATGGCCCAGATTCTCAATGGCTTAGCACAGCAAAGGTCTCTTTCTCATCCATACACAGTGTGATGAAGGAACTCCTCAGGGCCATGTGCACCCATGTCAAGTGTCAATGGTGGATTCAATCTTATTGCACTCTTGTTTCAGTTTGATCAAAAGAGCTTGGCAACCTGAACACTGGGTCTCAAATGCTTCCATCTATAAGTGGCATTTGTCACTGCAGCCCATATTCCATAGGTGGCACTTTGGATAAAAGCAGAAAACTAAGAGCTGTAGTAAAAGGCACCACAGGAGGGCTGGAGAAAGGTCTGGACATGTGTTCTCCTCCCAAAGCAAGCTACACTTTTCATCTGAGAAGAAATTTTTGGCAAATAATTAGGCTGAAACACAACAGCCTGCCACAGAAATAAAGGACCCCCCTTTCAGGGAGAGCTTATTGCTGCCTATTGAAAAATAACAGGCTTTTACTGATCTCTTGCTCATTTTCACTTAAAATGACAAGTCTTTATTCTCAATAAATGTGTGTTATAAATTTAAGACTTTCAAATTGTATAATTGCTAACATTATTGTAATTGATTTCATTTGATTTATTTAGGTCATGGAGTGAAATATCTTGTTAGTCCAAAGAACAAGTCTAAATACAAATCACACTGAAAACAACCTGATGCAATGAATACGTGTGTTTCTAGATTTTTGTTTCCAAGATAGACATGATTGAAAAGCCTAGCTCTGTCTTTGGGGGACTACTACAGCCTCTGTCTGCTGTCAAGTTTCCTGCATCCCCTATAGAGAAACTTTCACTCATTGGGAAAATCCTACTCATCACTTTTGGTGAGACCTTTCCTGATAGCTTATGCCCAAGCTTTCTCGTGATACATTTTACATTCTTCTGTGATGGGAGGAGATATACTATTTGGAAAAATCATTCCTGTGTGTCTTCTCCTTTAGATAGAGAAGTTCTTAAGTACCTAAGATGAACTAAGATGATGTCTTCATACCACAATACTCACACAGGCTAGTTAATCAGATGGATGGAGAACAAATTAATGGCTTCCTGACAGGGCTTCCTGACATTTGGATAGATAGTGCTTAGAGAGTGGACTTCAGCTCAAATCCAGAGAAGAAGGATCCAGGATTTTCTCCTCGTTACCTTACAGAAGCTTGTTTAGAGGGTGTTGTGTGACACTATTCCTGGGAAGACCTGAACAAACATCTACTCATCCAAGATAGGAAACCAACAACAGACCAAAGTAAGGACACGACCTAAGTCCAACTTGGTGAACCAATTAGTTTTACCGGAGTTAGCCTCCAGTTTGGCTGGTCTCTGCTTCTTCCAAGCAGCTCAGCTAGTCTGATAGTCTTTTTATTTCTTATTATTTTATGTGCATGAGTGTATTGTCTGCATGTAGGTGGGTACACCCATGCCATTTGGTGCCCATGGAGGTCAGAAAGGGTGTCAGATCCCCAGGAACTGGAGTTACAGTTGTTAGCAGCCATGTAGGTTCTGGAAGTTGACCTGGGTACTCTACAAGGATAGCCCCTGCTCTTCTGGGCAGCTGGACTTGTCAGAATGTGTCTCTTATCAGTCCTTACTCCTTATCTGGTCAGTTT